TTTGGTAGTTATTATATTATAAAGATATATGAAACAGATTTTAGAACTTCAGTAGGTTAGTATGTTAGTATTATATAAGTTAATGAACTATACATTTTATTGTTGTTGTTGTTTTACTATAAAGTTAAGTTAAATCTGTAAAACCTACAATATTGCTGATGTACCATATTTTTATTTATATAAATATTTTATTTTTATTTTTAAAGTTCCAGCAAACACAACTGCTACCTTTTGACTGTGAATTGCATAGGCTGTTTATTTATTTATTTATTTATTTATTTATTTGCAGAGTAACAAAAACACGTTTCAAGTACATAAATAAACACAAATAAAAATTAAAAACAGCATTTGGTGGATTTTAAAATGTAAAAGAATAGATATACTGTCCAAATTGAGGTCAAATCTTTTTTTTTTTTTTTTAAACACAACTGCTACCTTTTGACTGTGAATTGCATAGGCTGTTTATTTATTTATTTATTTATTTATTTATTTGCAGAGTAACAAAAACACGTTTCAAGTACATAAATAAACACAAATAAAAATTAAAAACAGCATTTGGTGGATTTTAAAATGTAAAAGAATAGATATACTGTCCAAATTGAGGTCAAATCTTTTTTTCTTTTTTTTTTAAGAGTAACAAAAACACTTTTCAAATAAATAAATAAACAGCATTTGGTGGATTTTAAAATGTAAAAATATAGATATAATGTTCTAAATGAGGTCTAATCTAACTAAAGTTATTGTTTTAAATGCCCAAAAGTGTCGAAATACTTTTTGGGGCTGCTGTATATTACATGTAACCAGTAGTATGCATGTTGTTCATGTTTTAAAATGATCTGAATTATTACAGTGCTGATATTGTTGGTCTTTAGTTGCACTGACAGCTTCCTTGAAGCCCTTCCTTTGTCCTCATCTCACTGTCATGACTCAGAAGAAAGATTGGAAACTTAAACTTCTGCTGAATCGGTGCCAGAACTTCATCGCTAGAGCGTGTTCTCCACTTCACTTCAGTTAGAAATGAGTGTGGGCCGGGGTCAAAGCGAACCTGATCTTGCTACACAACATAGTTATTTAATTAAAAGGCTCCTCGGTTTTTCAGGGTCAAAAAATATGTGTCGGCTGTCAGCGGTTCAGAGGGGAAATGGGTGTGAAATGTGTGAGAGGGATTGTTTTGGGGGCACCTACAGCATTGCTTCATAAAACAGATAAAAAACAGAACCACACACAGTTCTGAGAAGCTGCCAGAACGATCCGGAGGCCCAGGAAGGCATTAGTGACACTGAGACCGCAGCGTGGGAGTCTGCGTAACAGACAGGGTGCTGACTAAACCAAGTATTACAGCACGGGGAGGGAAAGGGATGGGGTTCAGCAGGATTGGATTGTAATGGAGGGCTTTGTTATGAGTCTGAGCGTTCAGAGATGGAGTCAAAGGTGGATGTGTGAGGGCCAGGGCGGTTAGAGGCGATATAAAGGTGAGCGGGCGGTCAGGGTGGTAATGTCATATAGGTGATAGTGTGAGTCTGGTGTAACCAAGCATGTTCCCATGCTCTGGAGGTGAGGGGTCACATAAAGGGGAGATGCAGAGACACAGAAGATTCCTATACATAACATGTTCATGGTATTTTTTAGCGGCAATATACAAAATGCTTTCAAAACAAGATTTTAGTGCTTAAGGGTTCATTTTTCATAACTCAGAAAGCTTAAAGGCAGAGTGAGGGATTTTTCAAAAATGCTTTAAAAACTGATTCGGGCCGAATCGCAAAACAAACTTGTAGCCAATCAGCAATAAG